TTTCTTTCTTTCTTTCTTTCTTTCTTTCTTTCTTTCTTTCTTTCTTTCTTTCTTTCCTTCCTTCCTTCCTTCTTTCCTTCCTTCCTTCCTTCCTTTCGTTCATTCATTTATTCAATTCACTCATTGCCAAAGGCCAACCAAAGTTACCGTAACTTTTGGTTCTGAAATGAAGAAAATTGGGGAGCTTTCCTGTTTCCACAAAGCATTTTGTGGATGGGGCACCCTACCATAAGTGACCAGCTCAGATAGGATTTTTAAAATTCCTTTTTTAGTATAAAGCAAACTTAAGAAAGACAATTCCCACCATCAAGAAAACAACAGCGCAGAATTCTCTTGCTACCTATCAGCTACCGATCGGGGTTTCATTATGTTGAGCCTTTTCTGCAAAGAAAAGAACAAGATGCAAAGAACAGCTTTAAGCCGCCTTGGCACAATTGAGTCAAATATTTTATTAAACTTGACTACTGCCCGCATACCAGACGCCTGGCATCCTGGAGGGACCACTGTCCATTTAGCATCCCTTGGAAAATTCAAAGGCTTCTCTGCGGGGCCTTCTGACAAAGCAATGTGCCCAGGCGGGGTAAGAGCGCTATTTTGGGCATTGAAAGGCAGACGGTGTGATCAAAGGTGCACATGAATGCACACGTACGCACTTCATGTGAGCAAAACACGCCACGTTTCCCTTCCGCTCAACCCTAATAGGAAAGTTACAACATGATAGGCAAGCCGCTAAAAGCTTTTTTTACTTCTATTGTTTCTATTACAACCTCTGCCCTTAAAGGCCAAGGATGTCGGTGGCCTTCCAACTTGGCAAGTTTAAGACTTGTGGGACTTCAACTCCCAGAATTCCTGAGCTAAAATGACTGGAGGAGGAGGAATTCTGGGAGTTGAAATCCACAAGTCTTAAAGCTGTCAAGTTTGAAGAGCCCTGGAAAAGATAGATAAAGAGAGGTAGAATAGATAGAGAGATAGATAGAATAGACAGATAGAATAGATAAAGAGAAGTAGAATAGATAGATAGATAGATAGATAGATAGATAGATAGATAGATAGATAGA